ATATTATATTATATTATATTATATTATATTATATATATATTATATATATTATATATAATATATATATATATTATATTATATTATATTATATTATATTATATTATATTATATTATATTATATTATATTATGTAATAGTCTAGGAAGGACTCATAATGTAAGCAGGCAAGAAGCCGGGCTGGCTGAGTGTGGTGGTGCAAATTTGCTATAGCTTGGGGAGGGGAGGCAGTGGCAGGAGTGGGGTGGGAGGTGGAGGGGATGGGTGTCGGGAGTTCTAGGCCAGTCTGTTTGTGCAACTAGTGAGTTTGAGGCCAGTTTGAGGTGGAGTTTGAGACTCCACCTGAGAAAATAAAGAAGAAAACAAGCAATACCCCCCATGTGCTGTGATCCCTTTACATAGTTGTGACACATAAACGTCCATGTTATTGGGGAAGTCTGTGGAGAAGGGAAGAAAAACCGTGTTTTAGGGGTTTCTTTTTGTTTGGTTGGTTTTGGTTTTTGAGACAGGGTTTCCCTGTGTGGCCCTAGCCATCATGGAGCTCATCTATAGACCAGGCTGGCTTGAACTCACAGCTGTCGCCTGCCACTGCCTCCCTGAGTGCTGGGGTTAAAGGTGTGCACCAGCATGCCCGGCTTAGCTTAATTTTTTTTTAAAGAAAGCCTTTTATTGTTAATGATAGCATCTGCATGCATATATGTCCTGTTGTACAGGGCATTGGGAATACTCATGAATTCTTTCTACAACTAATATATATATATATATAAAACAAAAACAAAAACAGCAAGAAGCCAGGCTGTGGTGGTGCACACCTGAAATCTCACTGTGACTTAGGTGTTAGAGGCAGAAGGGTCAGGATCCATAGCTACATCATGAGGCTAAGGCCATCCTGGGCCGTTTGAGACCAGGTTTCAAAACCAAACCCAAACAAGACAGAGCCCAGACAGCTCTGGAAACCTGAAGGTTGCAGACACTTACGTAGAAAAAGGAATCAAAACCAAGGCTTCTGTGTTTGAAGTGCTCTATAAAATACTGTCCTTGGATGCCTCTTTCAGTCTTTGCTGAACAACCTTGAACATTCTTGAAATCACTCTGTTTTCAGGTTCAGTTTCAGAAGCTTCAGCAGCTGCGTCTGACACAGTACCACGGGGGATCCTTACCCAACGTGAGCCAGCTGCGGAGCAACGCCTCGGAGTTTCAGGTACACTTGCCTGCTTCTGTGAGCCGAATGGTGTGGGGAGAGATAGAGATGAGCCCTGAAGAGATTAGCTAGAAGAATAGCCTGGGCCTGAGTGCAGCGCTGTCTTCTGGGAAGGCCAGCTATACGTTCTTTCAAAGTGGAGACCTCAGAGGCCGTGCAACTCCACCAGCAGTCAGAGCTGAGCATCCGCTTGAAATGTGTGAGGAGAAATTGCCTCACATGTACAAGGCCCTGGGCTCCATCCTCAGCGTCAGCAGAAAACAAAACACAGAGCACCCCAAACTGTAACTTTCTACCAGACACACTAAAGGAAAACAAAGTGGTGAACTTAAATTTAATACCGTTAAAACAAATGGTACTTCCTTTCAAACGTATCGTTACTATATGGATGTGTATGCTGTGTGTGTTGTGGGTATGCCTGTGCCACCCACATGTGTGTGGAGGTCAGAGGACAAGCTTCTACCCTACCTCCCCTGCCCCCACTGCCGAGACAGGCTTTCTCTGTGTAGCTCTGGCTCTGGCCATTCTGGAACTTACTATGTAGTCCATGCTGGCCTCAAACTCAGAGGTCCACCTCCCTCTGCCTCCTGAGTGCTGGAATTGGAGGACAGCTTTCAAGAGGCCGTTGTCTCGTTCTGGGACTCAACCTCAGGTCATCAGGCTTTCTCAACAAGTGCTTTTACCTGTCAATAGCCTGCTGGCCCTTGCTTAGGTTTTTTTGAGTTTTGCTGTGTAGTCCTGGCTACTCTGGAACTTGCTGGGAGGATCATGCTGGCTTCAAGATTGTGGCGACCCTCCTGCCTGTACACCCCTTCAGTGCCGAGATGACAGTTATCTCCCACGGCAGGCACCTGGCGCTTTTTTTCTCTTTTGTTTTGAGACTTCTTGGGTAGTTCAGGCTGGTCTTGAGCAGCTAAGCTACATAGCTGAGGATGACTGAACTTTTCATCCTCCTGCCTCTGTCTCCAAAGCGCTGGGATTCCCAGGGCTGTGGGGATGGGACCTAGGGCTTTGTGTGTGTTTTGCTAGGCAGACATTGCAGCTGAGCTACGCCTCCAGCCTGTTCTTAAGCTCTTAGTTTTCTTATTGTAGCTCTCTGAGCTGGATCACAGGCATGTGTCGGCATGCCCAGCCTCGCTGAAATGATTTGATACTCATTTAACCAAGATATACCATAACACCATTTCAGCATATAAGCAACATACAAAGCACGAGATAGTTCCCACACGTGCTGAGTCTTTGAAGTTTGCTGTGTGTTTTACACTTAAGGCACATCTCAGTCTGCACTACCCATGTCACTAGAGTCATGTGACTAAGGATAGGCTCAGTGGGCAGGTGGGGCAGAGGCGTAGATAGCAGTCTTGCTGCGCTGAGATTAGTGCTGGCTCATAGCCGTAATCATTTACCAGAAGAGCCTTATTCAAAACAATGTGGCGTTAGTGTTTCAGACAATAGTGTCGGGCCCTGCAGCTAAGGTCTGAGGCTTTGCTGGCCTGCCCATGAAGAGTTACTAGCCTGCTATTTGTAATTAAACAAGTTAGGATTTGATGGTAGCTGAGGTATAAACTTTGTGATGAAGCACCCTAACTCCATGCTTTTGGATACACTTCCGTTTTCTTTTTGGGATGTGTGTGTGGGGTGTGTGGGTGTGTGTGTGTGTGTGTGTGTGTGTGTGTGGTATGTATATGATCTGTGTGTTCTGTGGTGGGTGGTATGTATGGTGTGTGCATGTGTGTATGTGTGGTGTGTATGTGCTCTCTAAGTGTGTGTATGTGGTGGGTGTATGTGTCTGGCATTGTGTGTGTGTGTGAGTTCACAGTAATGGTCAGGGCACACAAAGCTGTTTTCAGTATCTTACATGGGTGCTGGGGATTTGAACTCACGTTCTTGTGCTTGCACAGCATGTATTCTGACCACTGAACTGTCTTCTGGTTTTAAAGCTAGGTCTTCCTTGCTGAGGAAACTGGGTTCACCGTTTTCATAACATGCAAATTACTGTGGAGCAGTGTAGACTTCTGGCTCTTAAAAATCCTTTCGTGGGTTTGTGTGTGTGCATGGGCGTGTGAGGTGTATGTTTGCCTTTGTATTTTAGTATGGGCACAAGCATGTCACGGCGCACATGTGGAGGTCAGAGGGCAACAGCAGTCATTAGTCTTCACCCTGTTCGGGACAGGGTCTCTTGGCTTCTGTGTGCTCCAGCTAGCTGTCCTGCGAGCTTATGGGGATCGTTCTCCATCCCTCTCAGAGCGCTGGGCTCTCGGTGTTGCTGCTGTGTACAGGGTCATGTGGACCCTGGGGCCTGCACACAGTCCTCAAGACTGCATGGCAGGTGCTTTACCCACTGAGCCATTCCCTGGCCCAGAACCTGGATTTTTAAAATTAGGAGTGCTCGGCCAGATAAGTCTTTGCTAATATTTGGAAAAAACAAACAAAACAAACAAACAAAAAAACCAGACTGAAATCTGTGGTACTTCTGCTTTTAAGCATTCACATTAAGAATACTTTTTTACATTAAAAATTATTATTTTAAATTGGGAGTGGTAGCGCACACCTTGAATCCCAGGACTCAGGAGATTAGCAGGTGGATCTCTGAGTTCGAGGCCAGCCTGGTCTACAGAGTTCCAGGACAGCCACAGCTACACAGAGAAACCCTACTTTGATAGACTAAAAAGAAAAAAATTATTTTGGGCAGTTGGAAATATGGCCCAGCAGTTAAGAGCACTTGCTGCTCTTGCAGAGTTCCCGAGTTCAGTTCCCAGCACCCACCTCACGAGGTTCACAGCTGCACGGAACTGCGCTTCTGGAGGATCTGCTTCCCTCTCCCCTCTCTGTGAGCACTGGAAGCACAGTCAGTCAGTCACTCAGGCTCACACGTGCCCGCATAAGTGAAAGCTCAGTTCTTTTGATTTGTTTGAGGGCTTGGGGGACAACTTAGCAGATACAGGATTTGCCGTGTAGGTCTGAAGAGGAGAGTTTGCATCTCCGGAATCCGAAGGAAAGCCGGGCAGGCGTGGCAGGCACCAGAAATCACAGCGCTGAGGAGGCGGAGGTGGTGAGCCTCAGCGAAATGGAGCAGGGTGGAGGTAGGCATCCGGTGTTAGCTTCTGGTCTTCATGTGCTTGGGCCACACGTGCCCGCACACTCACCTGCACACATGTGCCTAACCCATGTGAACATACGCACACTTATGTGCGCACACACATTTGTAAAATGTGTTTTATTTTATTTTTTTGGCAGATAGCCCAGGCTGGCATCAAACTCCATCCTCCTGTCTTGGCCTCTAAGTGTTGGAACTCTAGGTCTGTGTCACTACATGCAGTCAAAATACGATTTGGGGTGAGGAGGTAGCTCAGTTGGTGGAGCACCAGCCTTGCATACATAAGGCCCTGGGTTGGGTCTCCAGAACAGCATGGGCAGGAAGATTAGAAGTTCAAAGTCATCCTTGACTGTTTAGCAAGTTTGAGGCCAGCTCGCTAACCCTGCCCCCCAAAACCCCCCAAAAACATTTTTTGCTTTTGTAGCCCTGACATTTTTGGCAGTTACAGGCCAGTTATTTGTAGATTGATCCCAGTTGTTTCCATTGTTTTTTGGTGCCTTCTGGTGCTTGAGATTGAACCCAGGGCCTCACGAATGGCAAGGCAGGCACTGCCCACTAAGCGAGACCTCGGGCACCCGCTGCTGGGGCTTGTGTTGTCTTTGGGATGAGATTCAGATGGTGAGTCTCTGGCAGGAATAGCTCAGGAGCGATGCTTGGGTCCCATCAGGCATGTGATTTCCATTTGCCCTGTGACTGTGGGTGCGCCTTTACCACCTACAATGGGCCTTTCACGCGCTCTGCTCTGAAGTGGCTCTTCTCTCCTGAGTGGTGAACTGTTCTGTGCCCATCTAGCTTCCTTAAACTTCACATTTATCTTCCAGATAGAAAATTTGGTAACAGCTTGATGTACAAAGGGAATCTTTGGGCATAGGTTTTCTTCTGTTACCTTTTTTTGAGGTATACTTGCCTTTTTTAGGTATATAGCTCTGTGCCATGGAGCTGCCATCACAGTCACTGAGGTGTAGAATGGTTCCCTCACTGCACTGACTGTGTCCCTTGGCAGTCATTCCCCCTCACCCCCGCCAAGCGTGTCCTATGAATGGAATCAAAGGATGTGGTCTTCTGGTTTCTTATAGCCTTTAGCGGATTGCACTGGAGCCTCATCTGTGTTGTTGCGTGTGCTTGTTTCCTGTGGCTGCTGGTACCAAGCACCCCAACTTGGTGGCTTAAAATAGCAGAAATTCACTTTCTCACAGTTCTCAGTCCAGGAGCCTGAAGTCATGGAATCCACGGCCGTGTTCCCTCCGAGCTCTCCGAGGAAGCATCTTTCCTTACCTCTCCCTGGCTTTTTTGTTAGGAAAATCCACGGTCTGTCGCTCTGTCACTCTCATCTGTGCTCTTTGTCACATGTCACCCTCCCTTGTGGCTGTGAGATAATCTCCGTCTCTCCTCTCATGAAGATGGCAGTCCTTGGCTGTAGGGCTGTGCTCCTAGTATACCACCTTCTGAAGAAGCGAACAGTTTGCAAAGATCTTGAGTTTTTTCTCCCCCTTTTCCTCTGCTTCCTCCTCCTCCCCTTCCTTCTCATGAGACAAGGTTTTATCCTGCAATCTAGGTCAGCCTGGAACTCACCGTATAACACAGAGTGCCCTCAAACTTGGGGCAGTCCTGCCTCCGCCTCCCGAGTGCTGCAAGTACAGGAACCCCACGTCCAGCTTCGTGCACAGTTGTGCTCTTGTGTAAATGCCTAGTAGTGGAATTGTGGCTCGTGTGGTAGAATTGGTCTTTCTCTCTCGCCCTCTTTCTGTCTCTGTCTGTTTCTGATGCCGAGGACTGAACTTGGATTTGAATGTGCTAACCAGGCCTTCACCACTTCCATGTTCCCAGCTCCCTAGCTTTGCCTCTATTGGAGGTTGCCACCAGGTTTCCAAAATGACTGTACAGTTTCTCATTCCACCGGCAA